AATGAATGTGGTTCAAGCGTTCGCCAGCAGGTCAGAGCACCATGACTCCAGGCCATACAGGTAGCAGGGGCTGGAGCTGGGATCACAGACTCACACAGTCAGGTCCCACTGTCCACACTCAGAACCACAGTGTTGTGTCCCCTTCATGGGCACACAGCCTGGCAGAGTAATCTTCTTTGGCTGGACACACAGTGGTGCAGGGACAGATGGTCAGTTGAAGGGTTGCTGTCACCAGAGATATTTGACAGTCTCATTTGGTGTTCCCTCTATGTTCCCATCCTCACATGCCTCTCCCAATTTCCGACCCCAGTATAAACAGTACCTTCCCCAGGAACAATGGGGTTTTTATCCACTGGAGTGAGAAGACCCTCAGCCTCAGTGGAATTTCCTTGAGAATCAGTTTCTCCCAGTAATTTCATGAGGAACGTGTATCAGATTTGATCTAGTCTTGTAAGTGTCTCAGGTTCAGTTGGCCCCAAGCTGCCTTCTGGAACTCTCTTCCCACCCCTCCCCGATCCTTGCAGCAGCTCCATCTTCCCACCTGCTCAAACCAGAACCTGGGGTGCTTTCTGCTCCCTTTCTGTCTCACCCCACATGCAGTCAGCTCCTCCCCTGTCCCTGGGTCCCCACTCCAAATGCATTCATCACCTCTCTGTATCCCCCTCCCCCTCCTGTCCAGGCCACCACTGACACTGTCCTGGATTCATGTTTTGTTTCCCTTTCTCACTCCCTCTGATCCAAGGGAGGAATGTTTAGAAGACAAATCTGTTCCTGTCACTCTGCTAACTCATAGGAAACTTCTCAGAGGCACTTTCAGGAACTGTCCAGATCCTCAGCCAGACCTGAAGGCCCTCCTCCTGCTAGCAGCCCAATTCGCCTTGCTCCCCTCAGTCCAGCCACACTGGCCTATGTCTGTTCTTCCAAGGACCATCCCCTACCCACCCTGCAAAAGCCTCAGGCTCGGAGCCCACTGAGCTCTTTACCTGGATGACTCCTCCTTCAGGTTTACCTCAAATGCTGGAGGATGGTCTGCCCTGGCCCTCAGTGCCTACCCCAGGGCTCTTTCCATCATCCAGGGAGTCATCGTTGCAGCCTTCTGGGCCCCAGGGTTTGCCTGCAGAATTTGCAGGAGCCTAGG